ATAGTCAAAGGTAAAAGAGCTTGTAGTTTGCCTTTTTCTCCATCAGATTTCATCTTTTCAGCGAAACTAATGTCATGTTTGGAACCAACATCAAAAACTGAGTCGAATGATATGCATTTGAGAATTTTTCGACAACTTTCATTTTTGAGTGGAAATTTCAGATTTTCGTTTTTGACAAACCTCAAGAACGATTTTTCAAAAGCTGAAACACAATATGCGGATGCAGCTTGACGAGCTCTATCCAACCATATGTAAATTATTAGAAAAAAACTTGTACTCCTCCTCTGAATTATGTGCACCTTACCTGGTTCTTTAGCATTGCTGTCCATTGGATATTTTGTTCTTTATGTACTTGAATTATTGATATATACAATTAAAGTTATTAACACATACAAAATTAAAAATTAAAATTACGAACCAAAAAAACAAATACTATAAGCAATTCAGTATGAATGAATGAGTAAAATCCATGGTATCACGTGAATTATTTTATTATGAAATTAGTGATGGCCGAAGAGGTACGTCAGAAATGAAAGAACCAAAGAGAAATTCTTTGACGGCTAGAATTTTCTTTCGTTTTCTGTACGAAATAACATATATACGCTATTTCGTTTCCTGTGCGTCGTACCTCTATTCTGACGTACCTCTTGACCCATCACTATACGCAATATTACGAATAGAAGAATCGTTCGATGTTTTTCATTTCGTCGGACGTTTATTTTGTCCTATGCAAATTTCTAACGAAGAAAAACATCCTTCATAGAAATGCACGTCTATACTTGTCTAACATTTTTGAAAGTGAAAGAGTTGTTTTATAACTTTATTGATTCATAGTAGAAAAGGCCAGCGACAAGGTCAGTCTATGCCCAATGTTTAACAATGTATTGAGATAACAAGGGAAAGTAGATTGAAATTAGAGGGGAAAGAAAATGATAACAGTAACAATCAAATATAAAAATGAAAAAAATATACGATAAACTATAAATGACAGGTCCTTGAGATATGATGGATTTATGGTTTATAAATAGAATTAAAACGAATTAGACATGCTGCTAGTTTCCGAATCTTTTTGTTTCGCAAATATAAGAGTTCACAGCCGAGAAAACAGTTGCTGTTCATCCTCGCTTCTTCCAATACCATTAAGTAGTAGTGTGTCCAAGGTAAACTATACATTTGTGTTTAAACAAATAATAATTAAGTGTTGGAAAGTTTGATTGTATCCTCAAAAATAAAGCGTCTGCTCGACATGTCAAAAATTTTAACTTTTCAGAAAATAGTGGTACTGTAATTAAATCTGATTTTAAACTTAGTCTCATTTTTGAAATGCTCATAGTGATGTAATCGCTATTTTTCACCATCAGATTATTCCATTCTTTCGTAGCAACAGTATTGAAACCTTTTCAATATTATTTACTACCTCTACTGTGATGTTCGAATTACTTCGTAAATTATATCGAATATTTGGTCTATGAACTCTATATGATTGATTAGATAAGCAGGTGCAAGACCCTTAAGATATTGAAAATGGTCAATAACCTCAATATATAAAAATGTTTTTTTCTAGAAATCCAATCTAGGATCTCATATAATCGATCTTTTGATGTACCGTCCATTGTTCCACTGGTGGCCATTGCAGCTTCATACTGAATGTGTTCAACCTTATTCAAATTCACCGTTGTTGTTAGCGAGTAAATTATAGAACCATAATTCAAAATCGATAAAACACACGCTTTATAAATAATTTCTAATGGATTTCTAGATAACATACTCTTATAATATTTCATCAGACCAACTATTGACGATGCTTTAGAACAGATTTTATTGATATGGCTAGTCCACGTTAAATCGTACGACAAGAAGTAAGAGTAGTCCCCAGATTGAGCCTTGGGGCACTCCTTTAGTAATTGAACATTTTCTTGAAGCACAAACATCTAGAATAGTCTGTAATGTTGGATCTTTAAACTAAATTTGTATCCATTTTAGTGCTTCACCTCTTACTCCTTTTTTATACAACTTCAATAACAAACATTCATGATTTACATTATCAAACGCTTTAAAAGTAAAGCACATGGGACAAACTTGTCTTCTCCTTAGTCGAATCTGCGCTTCATTGCGCGTCGCGAAGCCATAGTAATCTTGCCACAAAGATCGTCACTACATCCTGAGAGCCACTAACAACAGAGCGATCTTACACCGAGGACACTTACAATTGCTATAAAAACAGCACCCTTTGATCAATTTCTCACTTCTGTGCATTTTTATTTTGAGATATTTGCACAGTAAACATCGATTGAGAGAAAGAACATAGAAAAAGCCCTTAGATATAGTGCATTTTTTGAGAAAGAACACCTTTTTAATCTACACAAAATGTCTAAAGAAACAAAATTTATATTTAGGAATTTATATTAGAGCCGTAGCAAATAAGTAATGTTTAACTGTTCTCTTTCCTCTTTTTTTCTCTTTTTCTTTTGTTTCCTCTTTTTCTTCTACACAGAAAGAAAACGTGACAAATGCGAAGCAAATGTCAATAGAGATGTATCTGAGACATATATATATCTATCTGAATGCTAGAGGCCTACTGAAACATTGCTGAAACTTTTCTCATTCATCACGCGAATGTGTAACGTTCTCCCTTCTTCATTTACACGAGACGAAAACAAATTTTGCTCTTTAGGTCTTTTCTTTTCGTTTCTGAAATTGAAGAATTCTCTCTCTCCCTATTTGATTTTTTGTTGCTTCTTCTATAGAACACAGAGTTATATGATAGTCACGTGTTTGCTCACGATACAAAGCTTTTTCTTCTCATTTTAAACAAGATAAAAAAGCAGTATCTTTTATATCAGGTATTTACTTTATGCTACTACTTACATGTCTACTTCTTTAAGTGTTTGAAAGCGGAGTTAAATCAAAGAAAAAAGTAACTAATTTATAAAGTAAGTACACAGCAGTGCCAGTGAGTGAGAGAATATAAATTCCTAAATATAGATTTTACCATCGTACAGTTCCTTCAAGCATTTTATGTAGATCAAAAATGTCTTCTTTCTCAAAAAATGACTGTTTCGATGTTTTTTCTCTCAATCGATGTTTACTGTGCAAAGATCTCGAAATAAAAATGCACAGAAATGACAAATGCATAAAAGATTGATGGTTTTATAACAGTTCTGAATATCCTTGGTGTAAAATCGCTTTTCTGTTAGTGACTCTCAGGATCTAGCGACGATCAGTTCGGTTCTGTTTGACGCACAGACGACTGAGGCTCAGCCATTCCTTGTTCACAGAATATTAGATTGGCTCTAATAACGACCTGATCTTAGCGATAATATCTAGGGATATACATTCTCTGAAAGTCCAAGCGTAATCTAGATCGATAGAGAATCACATTTCGAGTAAGAGACCTTGGCGAGGTTTTTCTGACGCTTTAAACTAGTGCTGTTGAGAAAAAGCGGATGAAACACTTAAAGTTTTCGGCCTCATTAGTGTAACTCGCACTAACTCAGCACAGAAACATGCTAAAAATTTTGCGAAGGTCTCATTTTACTCGAAATGTGATTCTCTATCGATCTAGACCACATGCGAAATAAAACGATTTCAAAAAGTTTAACTTTTTTTCAATTTTCTCATCATTGAAGACGTTTTGGATTTTCCATTCCAAAAAGTGGACTGGAGACCTGGGATGTTGGTCAACAATTCTGGACAAGTCCCAGATTTTCATCTCTTATGGTCCGGGAGCTACAAACGCTCTCCACAGACCATGCTATGTCCAAATATGGAGATTTGGGAATCTCAAAAACACTCGAGACACAGGTAGTCAGATATGCTGATCATCGTGGCATTATTTATTTTCATCTTCAGATCAAAGGAACTTCAGTTGACCCGCCTTTTGTCTGTAGCAATGTAAACTTCAAATTCGCATAACTCATTCATTTCTGATCCGAAATGAGCGAAATTTTCAGCAAATGTGTAGATTTACTCGGACAATCTAACAAAAAGATCAGCAAATTCCGCATACAAATGTTTAGTCCAGAGGATTTTTGTTTTGTTTTGAAATGGATAGTAGTTGTGGAAGCCATTCAGTGTATTTCACAAATCTCTTTACTTGTTTTCGACTATAGTCACTCTCTAACTTTGTGCTTTTTTTTTAGGCAGAAAGTTCTTTTTTTCTTTTGTTGATTGTTCGTAGCGGCTCTGTGCCATTTGTCATGATTAATATTAACACAGACAGCAGTTGCTGCGAGTGTTCTTTTAACCATATTTATAAAAGCGAAAGCAAGCTTTTGAATGTCAGAGAAGCAAGATGTAATAGTTATGTATAAATATTTTCACGACAAAGAAAATAGAACAATACACAATGCGGTATCGAAACGCTTCGTCTTTTTTTTCTTCTTTTTTTGTGTACATTTGAAAAATGAAATTTCCTAATACACATCATACGTACAGAGATTTTATTATTCGAGATACAAATATACCTTTTCCTTAACGAGAAGAACTGCTGAAAAGATGTTAGCCTTCTTGTCTGTTCGGCCATAAAACATTATATACTGTCGGCTCTCCAGCATCAAGAAGAAAGCAGCATATCACTCAAGGAAAATTCTACCTAACGCATTTTTTGACACTCTATCACGTGGAGTAAATGTTCACATGCGCTATACCTTTGATTTATGCGCCAATTCGTCTGGAAATCTTGTCAAAACAGGTAAGATACTCCTTGCCCGATCGGACCATACTGCTTATTCGAGAAATACGTCTTGCCGAAATGGATAATCTTGCTCGATCGGGCCAGGAAGTATGCCAACGTACTGACGTAAATTCATCAATACCTTTTTTTATAACAAACAAGAAAAGTATCTGACGCGTAATCCAATAATATGAAGTGCTAATGCTCTTTATATCTCTTTCTGCTTCAGATCATATATCTTCGTACTGTGAAGCAAGCAACAATACATTGAATGGCTGATACATCCATCATTAAGGTTTCATCGAAAACAGCGCCCGTAGGCGCGATGGGACAGAAGTATTTGGCGAGCGGCAAGTCTCTGTCGATGCGAATGTGGGAAGAAGAAAAACCGACCCAGGAAGAGAAGCCTATATCGGCACGCGATTACGAAACATGTGGTTATGTCATCTCAGGCAAGGCTGAACTGCATTTTGATAACGATCAAAAAGTTCTCCTCAGCGCTGGTGATTCTTGGATTGTACCCAAAGGTGCCAAGCATACCTACAAGATTCTGGAGAACTTTACCGCTGTCGAAGCCACCCATCCACCTGCGGAGGTCAAGAACAGAGATGCATCAGTAGCTCAGTGAAAAGCAGTGCTCTCTCTTTGACAATGAGATGGACGAGAGACAAGAAAAGACCCAGATTTTTTTTGTAACTTTCATCCTCTTAATAGAATTTATGAAATAAAGACAGAAAACACTGCCATAATTATAGAAATATTGAAAATCTGAGCGTACACTCTCCATTAACTTGTGTAAAATTGTGTTTAAAAATATGTGTCTAGGTCTACATCACTACAATGTTCATTTTCTTCATAGATGTATGATGAAGATGCGCAAGAGAGGACGAAAGGAATCCGAAAAATCGTGATTCAATTCAATTCGAGTTTTCATTTGTACAATATTATAGGTGATCGATTTGAATTTATCTGAAAACGAGAAATATTATAAATTGCATATTAAGTCTCTACTGTTTTCCCTTGTGCTATTCGCGCATAAAAATATTTTGATTGAATGAGGCATTCGAAAACGAACAGTTTATTCAAAGCTCGTATAATTAAAAGCAATGTTCAGGATAAAAGAAAGTAGAATATATTGTTTTTCTTAACAATTCATGCGTATGTATGGACACAGATATCAAGGCAATTTGACAAGTTTGACTACGCGATACTTGCCATATTCACAAACGTAGATATTCATATTCGAATCAAAAGCAATTTAGCCTGTTTGATCTAATCCACTGGCGTCTACGGCACCAGTAGCATTGGAAGTGAAACCAGCGCAAAACATGACAATCTTGCCACTGCCTGTATTGGCCATATACGAATTGCCATATTTACCGAATCGAGGTGCCCAGGATAAAGATAGACCTGACGATATAATCACTGAACGGTTTTATGTTAATACGTTCAGGCTATCTGCTCATTCACTTTGCTGGCAACTATCGACAAAAAGATCTCCGCTTTGAGGTTCATCATTAATATCTGATGCTTATTGTAACTTCGGAAATGTGCTCTATTTAGAGAACTAAATTGGCTGATGAGCAGCTTTCTGTGTCTAGAAATTTTTTTGCTTGAAAGAGAGTGTTTAACGTTTGTCTCTTATTTCTTTCTTTTGTTGCAGATAAATGACAATGCTAATTTATTTTATGACTCTATGAGCAGCAAGCATATTGAAAAGATCGAAAAGCTTTATATATTCGTCAAGTGAAATATATAATCATGCTACACATGTTGGACCATATTGATAAATTGAACAAATACAAATTAATTTTTACTTATGATATTGGTCGACAGAATACATTTGATGAGCTATAACTATTTCTTAAGCATGTGTTCGTAGTATATTGACAATTTTTATTATATGAATATTTATTATACGCATTACTTTGTTGTGTATGGTAGCAAGAAGCAATTAAGAATGCGTGAACAACAGAAACAAAGCGGCATGCATCGGATTCTATGCGCATAAGAAAATGACTAATGACAGTTAACAGCAATAATGGCTTGATAAATATTCGACAGATGTTAGTTTTACATGTACTTTGTCTTCGAATGAAAAAAAATATTGTTGATCAATAACTGAACTTTACTCTGATATAGCTCTCATTAGTCATTGCATACAAACGAACAGAAGAAAATTGTTTCGAATATCTGTTGAGAAAGGTAAATAGTCAGTTATGCATAGGTAACATTTTGAACGAAACGCTCGATTTGCTTTGAACTGCAATAGAGACCTATCACTAACCAGGCGCAAAGCTCACAGCCATAGGCACGAAGGGTGAGTACGAAACAAATACGCTTTAACTATTAAATTCAAAACTGTAGAATAAATGACAAACTATCGAATTCTGGCAATCTTCTAATCGTAAAATCACATAGTTTTCTTTTTAATTTTGCAATTAAAATCGATGTTGAGTGGAGAAATGTACATGTAAACGATGAAATTCCTTCGCTATAAGAATCAATATCAAGACGGTAGTCACTTGTCACTTTTATCTCTTCATATAATATTAAGGAGCTCAAGGCTGTTGCGCTTCATCTTGATTTCGGAACCATTTGCGCACTAGTAACAGCAACTCTTGTTATCGTGCTACTGTTGCTGCTCTACAAACCAAATAATGGTGCTGTTAGTGCGAATGAAGAATGAACAAATAGATAGAAAAAATGAAATCTATCTGTTAGTTTTGATTTTGGCAGTAACGACAGACTCACAGATTTCCGTAAATACATTTTAATATATCGTCGTCGTACAGTTTTACAAGTCCGAGACGTTGTATATTTCGGTAACAGGCCTGCGTAAAACAAAACCAGCAGCCACGTCGTTTTGCTTGAGGTAGCCACAACAAACATTGCATAAAGTTGTTGAAATAAGAACGGACAAGTTTTTAACCTACCGTCACAAAATAAATATGTTGAAGAAAATAATAATGTTAACTGCGCATTTGAGCTAAACAATAAATTAAAAATAAAAGCAAGACAGGATATGAAGATGGCTTACACAGTTGTTTCGGCAATGGCATAATACGTTTAGGTTTGTTGTCAATGCTACTTTTTGAATTTCGTCTTCTGCAATTCGAGCAACAGCACTTTACAACGTGCTTTAGTTTGGTTAAACAATTGGTAAAACAACTAGTTCTCACACATCTACTACTGGTATCATCAAAATCTTTGAAATGTAAATCCTATGGTAAGAAAACGAAATACTTGCAAAAAAAAGTATGAAATCAACAAGTAGCGTTCATCATTCTGATTCACTTCAGAATTTTGTGCTCTACAGTTTGAAAAAAACTTTTAATTCATCATCAAACTATAGTTTTAAAAATTTGATTTTTGTCGGTAATAGTGAATAATAGAAAGGTTAAGGAAATTCGACACCTGAAGCCTTTGTATTTTTTCGACTTTTTAGATATTCTAACAGAGGATGAAGGAATCTTTTACCCTGTAAATGAACAATAAATATCAATAATTTTCTTTCTTGATTAGTGTTTGTGCTTGTTTCAACATTATAGTATTTTCTGAGTTTATGGTCAGGATTAAAAAATAGATATTTAAGAATAGTTGCGGCTAAAGCCATGTTAAGAATTTTAATAAAAAATTAAAAGAAAATTGAAAAAATAATAATTAAAAATTAAAATTCGATATTTCCATCTATTCATACGGTCATTTTCAAGTTGCTCATCGTACAGAATTTTACATAAAAATGAAAACGATAAAACTGACTGCAGAATTTTAGATTTCTATACATACACAAGAACGAAAAAAAGATGAAAAGAAAAAACAAAATACATGCAGTCAGTTTTATCATTATCATTTTTATGTGAAATTCTGTGCACCGAGCAACTTGAAAATGACTGTATGAATAGGTGGAAATATCGAATTTTAAATTTTAATTATTATTTTTTCAATTTTCTTTTAATTTTTTATTAAAATTCTTAACATGGCTTTAGCCGCACCTATTCTTAAAGTTCTAACATTATGGTATTGTCTTTAATCATCACATCCTATCGCCAATTGGACCGTAGCGACTTTAGATTTCTAAGTTGTTTCAGTGTGTTTCTTCTACGAAATATATTGCATCAAAGATGTCTCCTAGCACCATTTAGGAAACTTTTTTTTTATTGACCTGTGTTGATCTCCTTACACAATAAACACATTATCTCAAGACAATAGCCTCTTTACATTTAACTATTTTTTGTCAAACAATAACGGTAAATATTGGGAAAAATACCATGAGAAGTATGTTTTCATTTACAATAATGTTGTCGTTATGTATACTGCTAAACAAAAAGGACAAGAAGCGTCCATTAGCGAATTCAAAATAGCATCCCACTCGAAAATAAGGATCAGTGCCTCAACTGCCTTTGTGTGTCGCCCAACACTGAAAACTTCATTTCCATGTATTAATTAGAAGTATCCTAGGTTTCACAGACAAAAACAGCCTTTTCCCAGACAACATTTTTATGCACTTTCTTCACACTTCCTAGCTTAGTGTCATCATCCACTACTCCACAAACACACTATAAAACTATGCTTCTTCATTTGTAAAAGTTTGTTGATCTAAAGCTTACGACGAGATCGTCAACTCGGTTTAGTCGTCTTCACGTTAGTCACACTAATTAATCGCTGTGTATGCACGTCGATCACACTAATTAGTCGGCGTATGTATGTAAATTATCTTCGTTACATTCGTTCAGGTATGTGTATGTACGTCAGTCATCATAACACAACAATTTACAATCCCTTTCATCGGGGGTGGCGGAAGCTTGAGGACCGTGGGTGCTTTGGCACCCACAGATTTGAAATGTATAAAGTTCGTAGGTGGTGAGCATCCACAGAATCTGTAAACTTAGAGTGTGCGAAGACAAGCAGTTCCCATAGATTTTATGCTCTTAAAGTTAATATTTGGTATATAAATGTACATGTTGTAGACAAGCCACAAACTGTAGTTTCGTCTCAAGTATTTCTAGAACGAAAATTATTAATACAGTAGCGTAGTTGAATTTCATTATTTTTAAATTCTATGTTTGTAATGTTGTAAGACGAAACATATATACTTAACCTTCATCTTTCTAGAAAATTTATCTTTTTATTACATTTAAACAAATAGAATTCGCTGATAAACGCTTCTTGTCCTTTTTGTTTAGTAGTATACATAACGACAACATTATTGTAAATGAAAACATACTTCTCATGGTATTTTTCCCAATATTTACCGTTATTGTTTGACAAAAAATAGTTAAATGTAAAGAGGCTATTGTCTTGAGATAATGCGTTTATTGTGTAAAGAGATCAACACAGGTCAATAAAAGAAATTTTTTCTACGACTCTTTCTTTGGAAAGAGGTCGAATGACATTCAAATTTTCTTCATTTATAGAATTAAAAATGAAGTAAATATAAAACTTAGTTATTACATCCTTTCAATGAATTGTTTCAGCAAAACATCCGTCTCTCTCATTATAAATAAAGGTAAATACCAATGTGTGACTTGTCATTGGCTCTTACAGTTGAGCAAGATCGTGGCCCCTCTCCCCAATGTTGGCTGCCCCGGGCCAGACCTAAAGAAAACAGTGGTAAGGCGAAATAAATAGATGGAAATGAAACGAGTATTTGGCAGTAGTAGTTGACGGTTTAAACTACTCATCTTTTTCTTTGTTGGATGTCGCATTATGTAAGACATAATGACACATACAGAAAGGAAAGAGAATAAGAAACTGTCTTTCTATTTCTTGGATGAAATCTTTTTCTCTTTGTTCTCTTGTTAGACCGCATATGTGCGTATCTTGTCGTATGCGAGATAAAAAAGATGTGCTATACACTAAGGGTCTAATAAATTTTGATCCAAACAAAGCGTATTTTATACTAAAGCTGCTTTTGAGACTAGAAAATCTGTAAATTATTTCTATTTTATTTTTTTCTTGTTATTCATAAGAATATGTTGCTGAGCCAAACCAAACGTTTCAATTTATTAGCTAAATTTTCGTCAATGGCACATGCAATAAAAAACTAATTTCGACTAAATCAGATCAAACATAATAATTATATTATTAAGCACAAAATTAATTATTATTTTCTTAATTATTAATTAGTTTCTCTTGTTTCTAGAATACTAATTCTTGTTCTAATATCGTAAGAAAGTTGTATAAAGTGATTCATTTATACATGATAATTTTATGTAAATATTTTTAAGTTTTTATTATTATGCTTGATCTGATTTAGTTGAAATTAGTTTTTTAATGTATGTGCCATTGAAGAAAATTTAGTTAAGAAATTGAAACGTTTCGTTCAGCAACATGTTCTTACTAATAACAAGCAAAAATAAACTAGAAATAATTTACATATTATTCTTTATTTGTATCAAGACTCTCAAAATTCTCAAATGTTTGACTAGGGAATTGATTGAGAGTGAAATCAAACGAGAACAGAGATCTTCTGAGAGTATGAACGAAATCGGTCAGAAATCTCTCTCCCCGTAACGTTCTAGAAAGTATGGATTCTAAGAAAATAGAACTATCCAAAGCTGATTATCTCTCTTTCTCTTTCTCTGTCTCTCTCATATTTATCGGTGAATACAATGATTTTTCCTTCGATCAGTTTTGAACACATAATGTTTGATTTATGATAAATATTTTAGATGTTCACTAATACTTTATTTTCAATACCAATGTATATGAGCGACAGTAGTACAAGCGAAAATGAAGACAATAATTCAACGCCGATGGAAGATAACACAAAAACATTTCAAAAACGTTTGCTTAAAACATTTGGAAAAGTTAGAAACCAGGGTGATTATTGTGGTGGTGGTCGTTTAACAGATGTTTGTAATCCTGGACTGATGATAGATGGTACAGAAGAATATATTACATTTCCATTATTACCATCACAAGCAAAATTAATTGGTGAAAAATGTTCATTAGCACCATTTGGTAGAAAAGATGAAACAATTTTCGATACATCAGTAAGATTAAAAAAATTTCAAAAAATAGAAGAAAATTTTATCATTCTACATCATATCTCTATTTTAGATTCGTCATACATGGCAATTAAATCCATCATCATTTAGAATAACAAATTCAAAATGGAATAAATTTACATTAAATAATTTAAAACCAAAAATTGTTTCTCATTTAGGTTTAGATAGTAGTTGGATTAAAAATAATTTAATTGATTTACAATTATATAAATTATTATTATATGAAAATGGTAGTTTTTTTAAATGTCATCGTGATAGTGAAAAAGTGAATGGTATGTTTGGTACATTAGTTATTATTTTACCATCATGTTTTAATGGTGGAGAATTTATTATTAAACATAATAATCAAGAACAAATATTTGATTATTCATCACCAAAAAGTGATCATGATTATCATTATTTAGTTTTTTATGCTGATTGTCAACATGAAATTCTTCCAATAACAAATGGTTATCGTTTATCATTAGTTTATAATGTTGTAATTAATAAAGACAAAATACATTTATGTTCAGAAATTCCATTACCTATTTCGGATGAAGAAAATATTCAAAATGTTTGTCAAGCGTTAATAAATTGGTCGGAAGTTAGAAATAGTCCGTTAAAATTAGTTATTCCTTTGGAACATAAATATGTAAGTAATGTATCGATCTTGGTGGAAAATATCGAAAGGAAAAATGTCGATAAAAAAAGAGCAAAACGTCGAAGAGGAAAAATTAGAAAAACAAAAATCCCCAAAAGCAAAAAACCAAAACCGCGAAAAGGA